GCTATGAAATAACTCATGTCATACCTATACTGACTTTTGCATATTGGGAAAGGAAATGTAGACTTATTTTTGGCACCCACTACGCTGTATGTATGGAATACAGAAAGCAAAGGTAAGGTTAGAAAGGGAAGAGAAGCCTCCTGTCAATCTGTACAAACAGCAAGAAGGAATCATACAGGAGTTGGATTGGCCCAACAATAATGCCTAGATGCAAGGTTGACTAACAAGGTTGAATTTAAAATTTCTGGTACCTGCTTGGCATCCAGTGTACTCTGTGGTTCAAGTCAACTCTGTGGCCTTCTGGGTAAATCTCAGCTCCTAAACTTTGCTTTTGCAGCTTTTGTTTAGTTAAAGGACATACTGGTGGAGCAGCACCTGCAGTTCTGTTCCAGGTATACTGAATATTTGACGGCTGTCAGGAGCAGCACAGTGAGACTGAAGACCAAGATGCTCAGCTCATCTTTGTGAGGGACAAAACAGAAAACAGGTAACTAAAAGCTGTGTATGAAAAAGCGGTTGTACCCAAAAGCAAAACGAGCTGTTTGGCACCCCAAAGGTGTTTGCTACCTTCTGAGATACTGAGAAACAGCCTAATGCAATAACCACCAGAAGAGGCTTTGTAAGGACTACTGATATAAATCTGTCTGTATGGGAAATCTTCATATTGTCACTTCTCCTTCAGGTTATTTCATTGCAGTCAAGGCTGTAGTTTTGCTGATCCTATTTATCAGAAACAACTAAAAATTCTTGCAAGAATGAAAGAGGATATATGTGATGTAAGACCACTGCCCAGAGTGAGCTGGGAAGCTGGAAAGGCCAGCCTGTCTTTTCTTCACCATCTTCCTAAAGGTATTCCTTATTCACAGCCTCGGATGTACTTCACAGTTAAGCAGAAGTCCTGAAATACTTGGATTATTTCTTAAAGCCTTGGCTCTTGTATTCGTGGGTTGCATGAATATCCACCTTCTTAAGATCATGGAGAAAGGTTAAAAATGTAGTCTTACAGGGTCAAATACCAGACATTCATAATTATTTTCTAATCTTTGGGTTTGTTTTGTTTTTTTTTTTTTTTACAAGAGTCTTCTGATTTTGGAAGCCTTATTTCATACAACTGTATGCTTGCTATTGGCAAGCTGTACTATACAAGCTACTGTATAGTGCAAAGAAACTTTGCAAATATTTCCTAGCACTAGTCCTATTTTAAGTTAAATTTGCTTACGGTACTAGGACATTATGTTTGGTCATGTATGTAGAGTCGGACCGTAAAGATACCTGTTCTTCCTTGTCTGTCTTTGCTTGCTTCAAGATTCCACATCTCATGGAACTCAAGTCCCCTTTCGATGGCAAGATGGTTAGCCTACCATACGTACCCTTCCTAACTTTGCTGATCTCCCAGCGATTCGTGTGTTCTGCTTCTGCTCCATTTGCAGCGTCTTCACCACTCACTCTTGCCATTAAGTGGTGCATTGCACTTCATCGGTAAGTATTTTGCCAGGTATGGACCTTGCTTTGTGATTTAACTGGACTTGCTATTCAGAGTTCCAGCAAGAAGAGAACATGTTAAAGCCATTGTAAAATAATCAGCACCACATGAAATTGAGAAGGTGGGATCCAATAATCTGAAACCCAGATGGTCTCTGGCAGTGAGAAGTAGGAGAGCTGTCATGCTGAAAAAGACCCAGAAGTCAGCAAATGGGCTGAGTTAATGATGTGACACAAGAAAATGAAAGGCAGAGTGACTCTGAGCAACATATGTAGGAGTGTCCCATTCAAGAGATTGAACTCTCTGTAGTCTTACTACGCCAGTGTTCTCCACACAGGTAGTACAGCTATTGGGGTGGGAGCAATGGTGGATGCTAACTGTAAATTAACAAGGTGATACATCTACCAGCATGTTGAACAGTCTCTCTGAGGAGGGATTAGCAACTGGGATTAGCAAATACAATTGGACAGCACTTTGCTGGGACTAGTATGCATGTCAGATGGGGTGGGGGGGGAGGAGAAGCCTGATGTCACTGTGTGTGAAATAACCTTGTAAAATGTGAAATAACGTGGGCATATCATTGTTGGCTTCACTTACCCTCCATAGGGACATGTTTGTAGAATCTGGGTTCTGGTCATGAGTGCCTTGGTTTCGAGTAGAAGCCCATGCAATCTTTGGACTCTGACAGGCTGGCTAGCTGTTGAACAGCACTGCCTGCTTGAGCAGTTAATGTTTATAATATATGTTGCAATGGTGAGGGTAGGCTTTTACTATTAAATATCTAAGCTGGTACCGCGTGGCACTGAGTCACTGTCCTCTGAATATTCCCTGTGCTGCTACTGCAAATAAATTCACCAGCTTCCACCTTAATAGCTTGCTTTAGAGCCAGTGTCACACTTCACACCCTATTCTGGACAGTCTCCAACAAGTTAATGTCTTTCACTGAGGAAGGTGAGTAAAACTGATGAGAGTATCCTTAACTAAAGAGCCATAAAATCCTAATAGAGCAGTAATGTTCCCAGGGAGCCTGAAGGGAATATGATCAATAGTTATGAGGTTGAGGCTCAATTTATGGTCTTAATTCATCAAGCATAGTCATTCTCCATTTTTGTACAGGATGCTTTTGTGGTTCCTGCTG